AGGGAGGGTGTGGGTGTTTGGGTCGAGAGGAGCAGAAAGGCATTAAGTCTGGGAGAAGACAGGGAGGGAGGAAAAGAGAAGAGGTCAGATAAATGTCTATGAAATAACACCCATCAACAATGATAACAAGTATAAAAGAATCTTTCTTCCTTTTTGAGAAAGACAAAGGGAATTTTAAGTAGGATTAAGTAGTAGTAGCTTTCAGAACTCAGCAGCTCTCAGAAGCAATAATAACTACATAAATAGCTAAGTGGATGGCAGGAATTACTTCACTTTGGAATTCGGCCAGCATATCAAAGTTAACAGTAATATCACATCTTTTTGAAAGCTTTCCTGAGATTCTAGGGGGGAGATCATCTCAGAAAAACTGTACCAAGTTAATTTTAGGAAGAGGATGCTCCTCACTGCTTGAAGACATTCTATCTCTCGAAAATTGATAAGACAGAAGTTCTAGCCTGCTGGAAGCACTCTCTTATCCACGTAAATACATTGCCAGTATTGCCCCCAACGGATGCAATTATGTTTACAGATTACCATCGCCTAATGTAAAATTTTACTCCAAACATAACCCACAAAGGATGCTCTAAATGCCGCAGAAAGGACGTGTGGATATCCCACTTTCAGAGTTCTCTAACTTTTGGACTCATTGTGAATGGTTAAGATGTAAACCTTGTAAGGCTAGATTTTGAAACACACACAACTGTACACATTCATTTCTGAATTAGGTGGAATTGGGCAAATTGGAAATATAAATAATGTTCAAACCCTGGACACCTCTACTCATGAATATCCTGTAGGCTTTTCCTCTTACGTACATTACGTACATTTCCTCTTTGACCACTAACGTGCTGACCATCTTCTTTGCTTCCCAGAAATAGAGATAAAAACTGGGTGTTGATAGCAATTTGGGGTACAAATATCTTCTCTCACCATCTGGAAACATTCATGTGTTACTGTTTCCCAAAAAAATAAGTTAGAATATTGCATTCTTTATTTATTTTCTACCCAGGGACAAGTTATTTTAGTATCACTCACAATGGAATTTGCATGAAAATCTGTTTACTGACCCCATTCCGTAAGGGCGTATTTGCCCTAGCACTTGGAGTAAACACCATTTTCATTGCACTAGAAATAGTTCTAATTGGGCAGATTGTTACAATTTTAGCAACACCCAAATAAATCAAAGGAATATGAAGCAGACATGCCACCAAGTCTGGATTATACAGCAACCCAGTTCAGTATGCCTGAAATAAGTATTCCTTATACACCATCAAAAAATGCTAAAAGAACATCTGTAGACATCAAAATTTTTTGGAAAATATGAGTTTAGAGAAACTGATGATTCTGAAAACAGTATGTTAAAGAGTTATGTGATTAATTGCTAATCTTATCATATATATAGTATATATGTACATATATATCATATATACAAATATATATAAAGAATGGAATTCATTCATTTCACTAACTGGTAAATTTTCATTAATATGATCTAAACATGTGGATGATCAAACAATAACATTCAGAATTCAAAACTAAGCACCTTGGGGCTTCCCTGGTGGCGCAGTGGTTAAGAATCTGCCTGCCAATGCAGGGGACATGTGTTCAAGCCCTGGTGCGGGAAGATCCCACATGCCGCGGAGCAACTAAGCCCGTGTGCCACAACTACTGAGCCTGCGCTCTAGAGCCCCCAAGCCACAACTACTGAGCCTGTGTGCCACAGCTACTGAAGCCCGCACTCCTGGAGCCCATGCTCCGCAACAAGAGAAGCCACCGCAATGAGAAGCCTGCACACTGCAACGAAGAGTAGCTTCCGCTCGCCACAACTAGAGAAAGCCCACACGCAGCAACGAAGACCTAATGCAGCCAAAATAAATAAATTAATTAATTAAATAAATTAAAAACAAAACATTAAAAAAACACACACAAAAACTAAGCACCTTGTAAAATATACCTGAATGAGAAACACATCAGGTACTCTGTGTATAACTTCTCCTCTCAAACCTTTCTATAAACTGGCTGCTCTTTATATCCCATTATTCATTGACACGCAAACTCCTCTCCAATAAGCTGAACCTCTGCACTGTTCTTCACACACCTCCATGCCACTCTCTGCTGACCCATCCTTGCCCTCATTTCGGATGCTTTCCCAAATCTTTCTTGTTATCAAACACTCGCCTCCTCCATGAAGCTTTGAATTTTACTTGAACTTACAGTCATACATTTTCTGAACTTCCTCAATATCCATGTCCAAATTTAACACTTAATCGTAGGATTGTTTTGCTCTCTGCTTATGTACGCGTATGTGTATCTCCTTTTCGCAATTAAATCACATGATTGAAAGGTAACACCTCCCTCTTAAGCCTCTCCCTAAAGTTTCTGTCAAGATCCTACGCCACATTTAACTTCGCTTTCTCTTGATAGTTCTTCTGACTGCTACGTTTATCTGAAAACATGCTTAGGGTTTCCCTGGTGGTGCAGTGGTTGAGAGTCCACCTGCCGATGCAGGGGACACGGGTTCGTGCTCCGGGCCGGGAAGGTCCCACATACCGCGGAGCGGCTGGGCCCGTGAGCCATGGCCGCTGAGCCTGCGCGTCCAGAGCCTGTGCTCCGCAGCGGGAGAGGCCACAACAGTGAGAGGCCCGCGTACCGCAAAAAAAAAAAAAAAAAAAAAAAAAAAAAAAAAACATGCTTAAATGTGCCCTCTCTTAAAGAAACTTCTGAAACCCTGCTTCTTTCTCAAGCTCTCCCACCGTATCTACTTTCTTTCTCTGTCAAACTTCTTTGAAAAGCATTCTTTCCTCTACTTCTTCTATGCGCACTCTATCTCCAGCCCTCTCAATCTGAGTCTCCACCTGCGCGCACCCCATCTTCTCTCCTGACTCCCAGTTCATCTCCTTCCCCAACCGCGATGCTCATTTCCTCTTCTGGCTCATCCCCTAGAGGCTCAAGTTGTCATCCATCATATCTGCACAATTTCCTTCGGCAACTGCCTCTCTGTCCTCGTCTTTAACTTCCAGGTCTCCACCTGCCACTCCCTACTCGGTATTTTTAGTGCAGCACACAATGTGGGGTGCCAGACCTTATGCTGCCACCTGCTGGGGAGTTCCATGAGGCGAGCTTAGAACCAAATTCAAGGTCGTCCCTCCACATCTGCCATCCGTGCTGTCCTTTCTGTTAAGTAATTCTCCTAGACATAGAGAGAGTTGTCACAGATTTAACATTCAGAACCTCCATCACTTACCACCATCTCCCCTGCATTAATCACTCGCTTTAAATACTACCTACTACGATCTCTGCCCTCTGTGTTCCACCCCTAACTAGCACGTCTCATTTAAGCTGTGACTGCCCATTACAGGAGCTACTGGATGGGCCCTGATTGACCTTTCTCCTTTCTTTCCCCTGATCTCCAACCCTCCCTACCCTTCTGCCAGAGGAACCTTTTTGAAACAGGTATCTGAGCAGTGCCTTAAATGAAAAGCCTCATGTAATTCTACCCTACAGTTAGGATAAAGCCCCAACTCCTCAGCTCTGGAGCTTCTAGGAAGAACTCCAAGGCCCTGCGTGAGCTGGCCTGTCTCTTTACCCTCTTCTTTCCTCACTTCCCCTCTCACTCCCTATCTCCACTGTCACTCACTCCGGCCTCCCTGACCTTTTTGTATCTGTACCTTGAACCAAAGAGGCTTGCCCTGGATCCTAGAATGGGCTGCCCTCATATCTTCACATGGCTGACGACACCGGCCACTCAGGTCTGGTCTCAAATGTCATCTCCTTGGCAAAGCATCCTGACCAAACGATCTACAGTAACTGCCACCATCCCTCCCGAGACCACCTGGTCACTCTTCTCACATTTACTCTGTTGTATTTCTCCGAGGCACCTGGAAGTCTCTGTTCCTTTATACGTTTACGTATTTAGTGTCTGTCTTTTCACACTCAGATGTAAGCCCTGTGAGCAGGAACTTTGTCTCACTTCACTTACCCCAGCTCCTGGAAGTCACATCCTCCACAGGGGGGCCCCTATTTTCACATCCCCATCCTTGCTCCATTTATATGGCTGCTCTAGCACTTGTCAGATTACATCTCTTATTTGAACAGCTATTTCCAAAGGAAGTGAATCACGGGCAAGGAGGTCATATCAAAATGTCCGGGCCAGGGGGTAAGCAAGGGAGGGGTGTCTGGTTATAAGATGCTCATTCAGTGTAGAAGATTTTAGTGTAGAAGACTTATGCATCTTTGTTAAAATTACCCCTAACTTTTTATGTTCTTTTTAATCATGCCGTACATATTTCATTTTCTATGTGTTAGTTTCTAATATATATATATATAAATGGATTAAAAGGGTGTTTATATTGACCTTGTATCTTGAATTGATCTCACTAAATGTACTACTTAGTTCTAAGTCACTTTAAAAATTCCATAGATGTTTCTACGTACATAATCATGTTTCTGCAAATAAAAAGTTTCATTCTAACACTCAAAAAATGCACATTTAATATCACTATTATTTTTCAGCACAAGATATAGAAAGTAGAGCATCAAAAAAAAATCATAGCTGATAGAGCTGTGCAGGATATGGGGGACATGGACTGAAATAGTTGAAAAACACTATCTTAGAGCAATTTGCTATGATCTGTCATCCTCACTACATTTTGAGCTCCTGGCGAGCAAAATCATGTCTTGCTTATTTGTAAGTATCCCACCAAACCTAATAAAGTACTTTGCCTAAAGTAGGCACTCAATAAATGTTTTTTTAAATAGAATTAAAATATCCCAGTGTTGGACACATGCCACATGTTCAGTACATACTTGTCCGTTGACTGTAAGAACCAATGAGCACACCTAAGTCTGTTGAACGATCAATGTAAGCTCAGCCCCGCTGAGAAACTATAACAAGAGACGTGAGGAAGTAGAAGATACCGTCATCATTATCCACATAGAAAAACTTCATTTCTCAGATAATGATAAAACGAATACACCAAGGAAAACATTTAAGTGGCTACCTGTGCATTTCTTTACGTGACTGTTCCTTTTTCCATGTGATCCTAACTTGCATCCAAAATTCTCCTCCCAGAATTCCGCAAACCATACATTTCTTCGATTATTGGCAAGAGTACGGCTTCTAAAGTATCGATCGAACCCTATTTTACAGAAGAAAGGTATGATTTTAATATTCGTCCAAAATCAAAACCAAATACCATCAGAGCTTTTGAATAGATATTATGTTGTGATCATTGCATGAAAAAATATGTATAACAGATGGGGGAGGGCAGCCAATAACCCAGCATTAAGGCTTCCCTTGTGGCAAGAGTCAATGGGGATCAGTGGACAATATCTCCACTCCCACCATTCACCATTCAGGCACCTGACTCTAGGGATGTACACAGCAGGTAAGCCTGTTGGGTGGCATCCGCACCACCTCTGTCTCTCCTCTGTGTCTCCCAGCGGCAGCAAGCAGTGACCTCATGCTGAATATTCAAAACCAACTCAGACTTTTCTCATTCTCCTCTCTCTCCCCTAGCACGAGTCAGTGTTCCAGGCTTCCGTGCTTCTACTTGCCTCAAGGTTTATCTGTCCTGCATGTTCCATTTTCAGCTAATTCAATAAACTAATCACTACTAATGTAATCTTCTGAAGTCATGGGTAATGGGCTAGTGTCATTATGCTCAGGTAACCAACTCACTGAAGGGAGACCACCTGGAAATAGTGCCTTATTCCCAAGGATAATGGCAAAGGTAGGAATTTCAATCACTGTCGAGACCATTGGAAAAGATATTTGGGAGACAGGCTGCCTTTCAGAGATGCTCCACATCTTTGCTGTTGCATTTATTTACCCATAGAGCCAGGCCAGCATCATGTCTTCATTTGCTATAAAGCAAGCACTCTCCTTCCAACAATGCTATAACCATTGTATACACCCATGGAAATATGCAAACTTAGAGGGCAACTACTAACATCACGGAGATATCCAAGGCCAACAGCAGTGCCCCCTAAAAAAATATCTAGTGGGTACTCTTTTCTAATAAAATATATATATATATATATATATATATACAATATGTTGAGTTAAATAGTTACTGTCTTGACCATTCTGCCATCAGCCCTAAAAATTCTATCGAGTCATTAATAATGGATTCATCTCATCGTATGCTGATACCCTGATTTTGCTTTTGAGTTTAGATTCAGTTGGAATGAAGCAAATTCTCTACAGTGCATCCTTACCATCAATTGATGCTCTTTTGGGCAAAATTGTCACAGCCCCTTCTGCAATCTCCTCCTGCTGATAAACAGGTGCTATTTTGGATCCCCAACTATCTGAGCCAATCCAGAGAAAATGCCCACTTTGGTTTAATTTTTTCGCTGCTTCCAATATCCTCCTGTTGGAATAAAAAGAAATAAAACATCCCACATTTACCAAGAAACTCTACACTTGTGAATGTTACAAGACCAGCTATATCAAGTCATAAACCCTCAGTAGGTCACCATTAAACAACCAGTCAATCATTCTAACCACCTGCGTCTTATCATCTCCTAAAGGGAATATGTTGGAGACTTTAACTCCAGCAGCTGATAATCAGCCTTATCCTTAACCTCATTCACATCATTCTGTTTATCATCGCTATTTGTCTCATTTCCTTCAGTCCCCAGGCTTTACTTGATAAACAGATTGGACTGAGAAACTAGAAGGCTGTTGTCTCTATGTAGCAGAAGGCAGTCTGTAATTGCATGAGAATGTTGCAATTCCTACGAAATCTCGCAAGATTTTACATTGAACATGAAATATGTCAGAAAAAGGATGCGGGCTGCAAATCTGATCCTACATGAGGAAGAAAAGCAATCAGTACCTGATGTCATCTTCATTAGCAAACATAATCACTGCCCGAGCATTAGGTGTTTCCAGCAGACGCTTGATTATTTTTTCAAATTCTCCAGGTCTTGGTTCACGTGGGATTTTCTGTGATTGAGCAATGCAAACACCACCTATTTTAAAAAAAAAAAGAAACAGAGAAAGTGATTAGGAAAAGACATTTACTTAACACACTTAATGAGGTTAGCCACTTTATAAAAACACGTGACTCAGTAAAGGATATTGTTTCTCAAAATATCTGTCATTCTCACCTATTAAAAGCAATCACTTTTTTGCATTATATGTATCAAATAAATGACATCAATAACTTAATCATACATCAGAGTTTTTTTCCAAGTTTAAACATTATTTTTGTGGATGTCTTTAAAAAAACCAAAGTGTACAAAATGTGGGACAAGAGAGAAAGAGTGGAAAGAAGGCTCTTTTAATTCATTTAACCTAAGTCCAAGGATAAGAGTCTGGATTAATAAAAGGTATGAGTATGTCTTATAGGTGAGACCACCTGTGAGGAAGGAAGGTCCTTTCGCTAATTTTATTTATTAGTAGACTTCCTTTAAGGTTAATTTCCTTTTCTGAGCTCACAGTATTGCAGCAAGATTCTTATGCAGCACCATAGTATGTTACGAGACAAGTGGTCTTCAAGACTGAGACACTAGCCAAGTTTCAAAGACACAAACCCTCAGTTGACATATACCTCCACCATGAAAATCAAAATGGCAGAAATCCCATCCCACTCACACGGAAAAAGAAAAGAACTCTTCTTTTGGCCTCTCCTTTTAAAGCAACGAGAAGCCAAAAAGAAAAGTTTAGAAAAGACCTCTGCCCCCTGCCGATGGGCTGGGCTAGGAGGAGAAGAAGGAGGTTTCCTTCGTTGCAGTGGTACAGTTATAGCATATTCTAACACTAGGAGAAAAAGCAATATTAGCAAGATGTTTCAATTGCATTATGGTTTAGGCAGGCTTTTTGAGTCGCTTGACAAGAAAATCATCATTTATTTATAGCATTGCTTCAGTAGGCAAAGGCATGTTTTCTTCTAAACAGTTGACAATGCATTCAGTCACCCAAACATTACTGGATGCCATTATATGCTATGCATTGGGCTGGACACTGGGAATGCGTAGTCTAATCCAGCGGTTACCAGCTAGTCTGGGAGAGGGGCATTCCAATAAATTATCATGGAACATGTAATAAATTTTAGAATGGAGAGAGTATACCACACTTTGGGAGCACAGAGGAAGGAGTAACTCAAGTGCTTGAGAGAGCTGGATTTTAAATGGCAAATATACATAAACATAGGGACAAAAATGGGACATTTCTGGTAGAAGCCAAGGTATGAAAGAACCTTGCTTGATCGTGACCTATGGTTGAGACTGGCTAGGGCTGAGGTTGGAAAGAATGGACAGGTCCAGCTTGACAATGACTTTGTTATACACGCCAAATAATTTGGAGTTTATCTTGAAAAGGATGGGAACCCACTGAAAGTTCATGAGCAGGAGAATTACATGATGAGCTGTATGCTTTAGGAAGAAACCTCAAGTAGGCAAACAAAGAAGAACCACGTGGTAGCCAGACAATGGGTGTCCAGCGTGTTGTGATCAGATTTAACATACTGTTAATTATGTTAAATTAACATACTGTTAATCATACTGTATGATTAACAGTGCTAGAGTACTGAAGGTTATTTTTTGTATAAGTTAGAGCACTGCCAAAGTTATCCCTGCAATAGAAATACCCTCACTAACCCTACACTATGCTCTTCAGGGGTGGGAATTGCCCATAATCCACAGACAGAGCCTGTAGTTAGTTAGTCTACTGATATGCCATGAATAGTTGTGATGACTGATTCATTTCTTCAGTAAATATTTATGACGTGCCCACTATCTGTCAGATACCATGTGGGGCATATGGATTTACAATGGTGAATAAAATAGACACGGCCCTTGCCTTCACAGAGTATAGAGATGTTATGGGCAAAACAGGCTTAATGCAAAACAAACCCGCAAAATAAGTATATAAGTTATGGCAAGTCCTATGGGGAAGAGCAAGGCCATTTAATTTAGATTGAGGAACGTTTGGGAAAAGTGTCCCTAAAGTTGGTATCACTTGGTTAAGGTCAGAAAGAAGAGAGAATGCGAGAGCATCACATGGGAAAGTGCAGGAAAGAGCCAGTGGAGTTCATGAGTGAAGGGGAGAGAAGTGTGAGACAAAAATGAGAGGTAATTTGGGGGCCAAATCATGCATGGCATGCAGAGCATGCAGAAGATTATGTGTAATTAAAGTGCCTGACATTTAGTAGCCCATAGGAATACGTCTTGTCTATGACCGCCGCATTTCATGGGAGAAAAATGAATGAGGACCATTGAATTATGTAAGAGGGCAACCTGGAGTGAAAAGAATAGGAGGCCATGAGCCCAGTTAGGAGGTTATCAGAACAGGCAATGGGAAATGATGACTAGGGTAATGCTGCTGGTACTGAGGAGGGGCAGGTGGACCTGTAAGAATTTGAGTTAGAATCAGTAGGGCTTTGTAATATTTTTCCCACCTTTATTGACACATGAATGACAAATAAAAATTGTATATATTTAGGTTGTACTGATTGGATCTAAGTAGTGAGGTAGTGAGAAACCATTAAGCATGACTCTAAGGTTTTGGCCTTGGTGATCAGTTTGTGTGATGACACTATTAAACAAGTAGGAAACACAGGAGGGTGAACAGGTTTGGAGAGGAGGAAAGAATGACTTTGATTTAGGATGAGTTGTTTTCAAAGTACCCATGGAACATCAAACTGAGAAAAAGTGAGTCTGGAGCTAAGGAGAGAAAAGGGAGTTGTAATCACAATGTTGCCTGATTCAGATACAGTAAGAAGTTGAAGTGTTGGGAACGAAGAGATCACTCAAAGAGAATATTGAAATCAACAACAGGAAAAGGTGAGTGACAGAGCTCTCAGAAAACCCACCAGCTTGGGGAAGGGAGCTAGCTAGTGAAAGAGACTGGACAAAAGTGATTACACATTTTGAGGAGAAAACTTTGGGGACAAAGTCTTAAGTTGAAGACTATGCATAATGTGTTTAAAAATCAAACAAACAAGAAACTGTGGTGAGTGGAAGCATTAGGTAACCACAGAAATGCAAGACCCAAACTGTAACACTCTCTGGGGAACAATAGCTGTTTCAAAATATGACTGCTCTTTTAAGAAAAGTCCTCTGATTACTTAAGGATCCTATTAAAGACACGTCATATCCAAAATATCATTCTGAGATTAATCCTGACTCCATAGCCAGAAGAAATGAAGGCCAGAAAAATTTTATTATGACTATTTCAGATGAGGCAAACAGGCAATGCAATCCAGACAAATGGTTTAGCCTGAATTCATTGATGTATTCATTTACTACAGATCTAGTGAACATTTTTGTTTGTAAAAAGCTGAGTTGGGTTGGAATTTTCCATAGTCTATTCATATGTTTTTATTCCTTTACCTCACCTTTTATTTGTCAGCCTGGTCAATCGGTATTTTCCTGGAAAGACGGACTGCACAATTAATTTATTTCAGCTGAGCAAATCCTTATGAAGATCCTGCACCACACGGCATTGTGCTGTTTGGTGCCTTATGGATATTTTATTAAATTGTGGAGTGTGTTACTCTCAAGTAATTGGAGTTAGAAGATTCGGATTTTTTTCTTAGCCTTGAAACTCATTCACAATTTCTATCTTCACATCAGTCAAGAAGCTACGTTCATAAGCCCTCATAAAAGCACATATCGTCTACTACATTTCCGGAGCTACAGACATTCTGTCTCCCATTCTGTCCACAAAAGTCCTATAATTGAATGACAAGATATACACATAAGAAAAGCCAGATAAGAATGTAAAATGATGGACTGCTAAAAAATAATAGCAGAAGATCAAACCAACTGCAATAATAAATGACAAGTCCCCCCGCCCCCCACCAAATAGTCCAATGACTTCATAAGAAGAGGTCGTTATATACTGTTAGAGTTGAGGTAAAGTACCAATGAAATTTAGTCAAACATTCAGGCTTTGTCAAAGACGTGCTTTCCTACAATACTCATTATATGTTGTTTCAATTTTTAAAGAGACTCTCTGACTTGATTTAGACTCCTGGGGTGGGAGAAGGAAGAGGAGCTGCTCTCCATCAAAGCACATGTCTATTGCATCTATTTCTTCATACCTCACTCTGGAAGAGTACTGATTGTGTGCAATTCAAGGAACACTAACTTTCTTATTCTACAGCTGTCCCCAGTTCTGCAAGAAATAATTTTGAAAGCTTAGCACTTAGTAATATTGTACGGAGGAATTTATAATTGGTTGTTTTCTAGAATCTTCTGTCTGACTCCCTCATTTGTGTCAATGTTTTTCTTTTGATTATTTAGCGATAATTAAAAGATCATTTGTTGAACGGAACATTTTATGTTCACTCTACAACACACGTGATCACTCCTTCCCAGTCTCATTCACTCTTACCTCCCTAGTCGTAGCGAAAGCACTCTAAGATTGGCATTATCACCACATTTCTGATGAGGAAACTGAGAAACGAGGGGTGTCAACAGCTGGCAAGAGATTGGAATCCAGGTTCAAAGTCAGATCTTACTCCAAGACTAGCCTTTTTCCATCATCTTTTCCATCACTTGCCCAATTGGCCAGTGTCTCAAGTTGGTTCGCAATTTCTGTCAAGTTCTAAGTAAATCAAATCGAGTCTCTGGTTATATAGCTTGTTAGATCTGCATGACAGAATGGTTTTGATACATAAACAAAGTTACCATTTTATCAATGGTTAAGGTTATTGGTAAAAAAGTGATTGGTCAAAATTGTTGGTTAACCATAAGAGATTGTTTATAATTGACCCTAATAAGAATGTGATATAGTCAACTATTATTATTTCTTATGAATGCACTTGCAAATAATAGCAATGAGCAAAACCAAATAACCAGTTTTTTTGTTTCTCTCGTAAAGACAATAGAAACATGTTAACTCTTCAAAGTGCCGGGATCCCAATTCCAATTCTTAGGGAGTGAGGAATTTCCCCACCATCACCAGGCAATCCTCTGACAAAAACTGGGTGCCCTACGATTCAACCCATTTCTGATACTATCTA